CGTAAGTGCATAGCTTTTTTAATATTGCCAAGACTGGACTGGGCATACTCAGATACACTAAAGATACGTCACACCAGAGTCTCAAGATGTGATTACAGTTCACAAAGATGAGCGCTGGATAACTCAAGTTCTGCTGAATTGCTTGCTAACAAACTACACGTGGCCATCTAACCCTGAGTAAGCACTTAGTAACTAAAATCTGGGTTGTTGCAGTTAATGCTAACTTAGTACAACCACAGTAACTGAGAATTTCTGGCATCACCAGGCTTAGGTAGCAGTTAGGTTGGAAGATTTGGGAATCAGTGCATTCAACATGGATGTTCAACTGCCCTCACTAGTCACTTTAGGTTCTTAATACTTTTGTGGATCTGTCCCTGTAAGTCAGGTGTTAGCCTGGACATTCACGCTAGATTCGGAAGTTTTGCCTCAATCCTGGGAGTGTTTATTTAATTTCCTAGTGAACTTGTGATGGATTCCTGCTGTAGCTCCTAATCTGGGATGGCCAAATTTACACACAGGATGGAGGGAAATAATACTGGAGCAGATAAGCTCCTCCATTTCCTGATGTATAATATACAGAACAGAAAGTAAGCAAAATTCAAGGCTCAAAGCAATTCCAGAGAGAGGGGTTTGTGTCGCTGTAAAATATTTAAAATAAATAAATAAATAAATAATGCTTGTTTACAATCCTTCAGATAGAAGAAATAAATGAACAAATAAGGCGAGAGAAAGAAGAGGCAGAAGCTCGTATGCGTCAAGCAACAAAGAGTTCAGAAAAGTCAACCACTGGTGGTGGAGGGGGAAGCAAAAATTGGCCAGAAGATGATTTACAGTTGTTAATTAAAGCTGTGAACCTCTTCCCAGCAGGGACTAACTCAAGGTACTTCTCGGGTTTGGTGTTAAAAGCCCTACTAACCATTTTTAATTAAATAATAAGCATAATACGGCTTATTTTCAGACCATCCTAAGTATGATGTCAGTATAAGGACTCCCTAAACGTCCTCCTTTTCCTTGACTGTTGAGCAGCCTGTGGTTTGTCTTCTCTTAGTACCATGCTCTACGTGTCATTGGAGTTAGCTCTGGCTCTGTATCTTGCTTCCCCCCAAACTTGGGCCTCAGTCCATCAGCAAGATTGTGCTGAGGTGCATGTTTGCACAAGGCTTACTACAGGAGAGGCTCCAGTCATTAAAGCAGGAAACAAAACTGGCACAGTGACCGTGATGCAGCTGGGTAGGAATACAAGTGTGTAAGCTACTTACAGTGGCTCCACAATGAATGTGAGGCTGGTTTCTCCCCTACACAATAGGAGGAAAACAGCCAGAGATACAAGTTAAGTGGCCCAACTCTCTTTAGGGGAGAGCCAGGGGAAAAGGGAAAGGCTGGGCTTCACAGAAAAGCAGCCCTGGCAATCAGCTTACTAATAAGCTTCAAGAACAGGAGCATGCCTTAAATCCTGTTCTTTCCCAGGAGTGAAATGCCTTCTTCCACTTAGGATTTACAGATTTGAAGCCTCCATTACAAGATTTGGATGCTTACTCTTTAAAAAAAAAACAAGCTGTCATACTCTTTATGGAGATGATACCAGTACCTGTTTCTGCACCGCAGCTCGGCAGTCAAGAGTACTCATTGAGAACACAGGCCTAGATACGATCCTACTGTCTGATCAGGTGCAAATATTCCCCTCCGTTTTCTGAGAATGCACTAGGAATAATTTCGGGGCTAGGGTTGTTCCAGGTGTCTCCTGTTGAAGCCCCTTTACCTGATGTTTAGGTATTCTTTTTGGGGGTAGTGGAAACAGGGTTAGTAACTTCTCAGCCCTTTCAGTGCAGCCTGCAGTATTTAATGTCAGAGGTGTTTAGAGAATTCAGGAAAGCAACAGCTGAGCAGAGTTTTGAGGATTTGAGGTTTGCACTTACACACCTATATTCTACCCCATCCTTCTTCTGTATCAGAAGCCAAGAAGGTCACCTAAGCTGACTGAATTCTTAAGGGAAACTTCTGCATTTAGTGACGGAAAGCTTTCCAGGATATTTACCATGACAGTCTATATGTATTTAAGTATGATTAAACTTAAGAGTTGATATAAATGTGTACGGGAGCTTGAAAGTAGCTTATATGAAGATAAGCTATTATGTAATATGCTGGTTTACCCTTCCTGTTCTTGCTTTAGGTGGGAAGTTATTGCCAATTACATGAACTTGCACTCTACTACTGGAATAAAACGAACAGCAAAAGATGTCATCAATAAAGCAAAGAGCCTCCAAAAGCTTGGTATCTATATTACCTTATTTTTGTAATAAGATGGTCTGCATGCTTCTATACAGCTTGATTTTCGTTGAACAGCATTGTGTTTCTATTACGAGAAAATCCTCTGTACGTCCCCAACACAAATGTAGTTCAGATGGAAGATTTAGAGGAGCATTTATGTGACTCAGTATCTTCAGCCTAATAGCTATTGTGTAAGTCACCACCTCATCAGTGAATCTCAGGAATTCTTTTAATCTAACTTGATGCACAGATGTCTAGGCCATATACATTGCCTAGGCTCCTCTACACTCGGAGAGAGACAAACTGGCCTCTGAGCAAGCTCTCTACAAAGGAAGGCATCTAGAAAAATGAAATTGATGACGCTATAGAGATACTTTAAAAAGATGAATGGAATTCAGCAACAGACTCAGACACCTGAATTAATGTGGCTCATCTCCTCTTGTGGTAAATGGAGCCTAGAGAGCTGGCATACTGAGAGGAGGCTCTTGAGTACGTTCTTAAGGAAAACCAACATTCCAAAAAACAAAGTTTAAGAAGTTTCTCCATTCCAATACCTGCACAAGGAGGACCCAGGCTTTCCCCATGTTCCTGACTGCCCCTCTGACACGCTGGTACTCTGGGTAATTGCAAGTTTTGTGCCGCAGCCCTTACTTGAGAGAATAATCCCTTTTGATTTCAGTGAAGTTGCAGATTCAGGCTTAAGCTTACACGGAGAAAGTATTCATCTGAGCAGTATAAAGCAGGATAGGGGTTGGAGAGCCTGATACTTTGAGTAAAGCTTGTTGGACCCTGAAAGATTTTTTTTTTTTTTAATCTACCAACCTCCTTACCATCATTTTAAAGGAAGTAGGAATTAGGTTTTTTGATTATGTGATTATTAGTTTACAATAATCTGCTCTGCAATGTTTTTATTATTACATCCAGCTTTAATTTTGTTGCAATAATTATTCTATTCAATGTCTGTTGCTCATAGACCCTCATCAAAAAGATGATATAAACAAGAAAGCATTTGACAAATTTAAAAAAGAACATGGTGTGGTGCCTCAGATGGACAGTGCTGCCCCGTCGGAACGATTTGAAGGTAAAGGTGAAAAGGGAGCCCTTCTTGCAGAGTTGTCTCCCCTGTGTACCTTAGTAAGAAAGTAATCCAGAACTTACTTAAGACTTGCTTACAAACAAACTTATATAGCAAGTAAGAAAGTGATCCAGGCTCTGTTGCTGGATTTGAGGGTTTCTGGTACACACAGTACAAACCACAGTTAACTAAATAGTGACAGTTTGAAATACTTCCTGGTGAGGCAACAGGTTAAGTCTGATGCTGAGATTATCTGTTCCTCAGAGGGTGCTACCTTTTCAGTTAAGAGTAGGCCTGAGGGGATGCACTTGAAATACAGCATCATCCTACAGCTAAGCTTTGGTCTCCTGTTAAATTCCTCCCATCAAATTTTGCAGACACTTGCAGAAGGCTGTGTTTCCTTACTAAGCGTTCCTAACTGAAATGCAAAAGGAAAAGCTACATTGCTGCCCTAATGCTGTGGCTTCACAGGGCAGCTACAGTGATCTAACACCCAGCTGACAATGAAAGATGTTACCTTTAACTTCTCTGTACTTTATTTTAAGATCCCAGTCAGTTCCAGGGTTTGGGGTGGTTTTTTTTTTTCTTTCAGGTTTTTAATACTGGGTAGTCCTTAGGTCAAACTAGTTGTATCACAAAACTGCAAGGATTTTAAATCAACTATAACAGATTTTACAATGTTTTCTTAGGCTTATCTCATAGACTCCTTATTAATTTTTTTTTTCTTACTGTCATTTTTGCATTTAAAAAAAGGATCACCTTTAGATTCATCCCCTTGGACTACAGAAGAACAAAAGCTTTTAGAACAAGCATTGAAGACTTATCCAGTAAATACTCCCGAAAGATGGGAGAAAATAGCAGCAGCTGTTCCAGGCCGGTCAAAAAAAGACTGCATGAAGCGATATAAGGTAAGGTACCTCACCTCCTTCTAGGATTGTAATTAGCCCAGATCTTTGCTTTTACTGTTGGTTTCCCTACCAGAGACAGTACCTGACAACAGCAAACTAGCACAAGATGGAGCCTTAAGGAGAAACTTTTTTTTTTCGGTAACTCAACCCCAAAGGAGCAGTAAGGACTAAGTTTTCCTCAGTGAAAGTAGTGGCTCTGGAAGCTGGGAAGGGAAGTCTGTCTTGTGAAATCAGCCTTACAATTTGACAGCAAGCTCTTGTAGATGGTAAAGTCCTATCCCTAGCCTTTTGTACGTAAAGTTCCTGCTACAGAGGGATTAGATGAGCATTGACCTTCCATTAATTTATTTGTTTCTAAGAAATTGTTTTAAGGTATTAAACTGTCTAGATTCCTCACTATGTTGAGAGCTAGAGTGTTTCAGGCTGAATATATGTAGTGTTCAAAACCACAGCACTGTTAACAAGTTCCACATGTAGATAACTATCTTTTTTTTTTTCCCCCCCAACTCTCCAGGAACTCGTTGAAATGGTCAAGGCGAAGAAAGCTGCTCAAGAACAAGTGATGAATGCTACTAAAGTCAAGAAATGACTCTTACTGACAATCTTTGTTTTATAATAAAAATGCAAATACTGTACATGTTTTCATTCTGTCCTTAATTATACAGATACACAGGAATGGCTGGTTCTTGAGTTTTAATCTTCTCAAATACATTTCTCCAACTCAAAAGCTTTAAACAGGGGTGTAGTTGTTTGTTGGGGTTTTTGTTTGTTTGTTTTTAAAAGCTCAAACACACTGAAAGTTCTTGTTATTCACTACTCACGAAGCCAATACATGCCACTGCAGATTTTGTTATACTCTGGAAGTTGTTCAATTGGACCTGGAAGTTAAAGAAAGTTGGCCATGACACATGCTAAACTGATACCAATTGGTGTGGAGGGGTTATCGGAGGGTAAGGAAATTTATACAACATACCCACGGCTGCAACTGCAGGATGCTTATTGTAGATGTACTTTGTGCAAACTTCTCTAATAGTCTGGGCATCAATAGCCTAAAAGGGGTAAAGAGGCATCTTTGTTACCAATCCCATCTAAAAAAGTATTAAGAGACACTGATCTTAATTTTGTATAATCCAGGGGAAGAGGCAACAAAACAGTTGACAATTTTCTCAGTTGGAAATAGTCTAACTTCTGTATTGCTACTTCCCGTAGCAACTAAATTTCTGAAGGGCCTAATTGAAAAGTTGCAATGTGACTGCCACTTACTTCAATTCTTGCCTCAAGTTCTGGAATTGGGATTCGGCGCTTATAACACAGCATTTGTCTTCCAATGTCTTCACAGATTGGTGTGGATCCTAAAATAGGGGAAAATATGCTTCAGTTATCAGCATACAACTCCACTAGGAATAAAAAGCTCTCGTAAGTCTCACCATCAAGTTGTAGCAGCATATTTGTCTTTAGAAGATTTTTTGCTCGAGCTACTTCATTTTCTGTAACACTTGTGCAAAGTCTTATCCTGAAAAATAGTTTAAATCCAAAGGCATTAAAAACAGTAACCTGTAGCACAGAAGATTTCCTGTGATAGAGAGGTGCGTATACATTAGCACACCTACCAGGCACGTCTTTTCTGTAGACAGAGCTGGTAAGAGAATTTGGTATGGAAACAAGCCATAGGATGCAAAACAGCAGCATAAGAGTAGGGTTTTTTGGAAGCATACAAATATACCTAGGAGCAAGTTTTCCCCCTTAGAAGAGCTATATTTCATTTTATTAAATGAATATTTTGAGCCAAGTGTAGTCTATATTTGCTATCTTGAGAATAGCTGTTGCTAAGACAGTAGGAGCCAAACAATTAGAGGCAATTAGCCCAGAAGGCAATCCATTACGTCCTGGCTCTCGGTGAGATAGTGATATACCACATTGCATAAGGAACATTTCACTAGGACAGGGGAATGCATTAGATACCTTAACACATTCTTGTCACAGGAATAGTTCATACCTTCCCTGGTGCTAAGCTGCAGCAAACAGACAGCTAAAATGAGGCCATTTTTTCTCCACAAGTTGTTCACAAAGATCTCATAAAATAATAGTATATGAGAAGTGATCTACGTGATTAAAGAAACTCCTCATTTTCAAGTTTTCTTTCAACTTTTGTTTCAACTTCACCCACTTTAAATCAGTGCTCTTAAATAACATGTCTGTTTCTAATCACATCTGCAGTCCAAGCATTACAGTTACACCTATGGACATCTTTTCAATTCAGATTTAAGCCTTAGATGAATTAATATTATCTAGAATCCCAGGTTTCAAAAGTCCACATATAACAGCTCACCTACCTTACATCATTTCATTTCCCTACGCACTCACTAGAACTCTGTATAGCACCACCACCTGGTACGTCATGTGGGATAGCAACTGCAGAATGGGTAACTACTAATGTCTGTAGGTAATTGCACATTCATTATTCTCATTCATGAATATTTACTCTTCCAGTTGTCAAACACGCAGTTCATGGGCACTGGATAATGACTTAGTAGTATTCTAAAAGATTTGACGCATTTTCATAACTCCTGTCACTTGCAAGTCAAAAAAAAATCACTGCCATATTTTCTTGTACAAGGAATGCTATATATTAACTGCTATACATTAACTGCTATATATTAACTACAGTTACTATTTATTCTTCCAGGGCAGAAAAAGAAAACCAAACCTAAAGCTTAAGCTATTCACTCCAAATAAGGGTGCCAGAAACTGGCTGGGGGGGGGGTGAGTGTCAAAAGTTTAGAATTTGATACATTTGTTTTTTCTAGGCAAGCCTAAGCAGAGAAACAAAAATACTCTCTTTAAATTATTGCTATTTTTTTTAAATTGTACTCCTCCACTGAAAACAATCTTTTTAGAGAAAGAGTTGTTAGCTTACCATTCTCTCTGAACAAAGTGCACCATGTCCTGTATAGTGGATGGCTCACAGACCATATAGAGTCCCCACAGCCCTGTATCAGTGTAGCAGGTGTTGAAGGACTGGAAACTGTGACACAGGTTACCATGGCAGGCAATCTGAGCAAGTTTACTGGATAAATTCTGCTGAGGCAAAAGAAAAAGATATTATTTTAAGAAGTTTTTTGAAAGCCTACTTACTAGTCACCTCCATGGTCTCCTGTTTTCATTAAGGCAAAAGAAAAAGATATTATTTTATGAAGTTTTTTGAAAGCCTACTTAGTCACCTCCATGGTCTCCTGTTTTCATTTCAATAACAGAACATGCAGTAGTATCACAGGCTCCAGCAGAAGCTACGAGGTTAATTATCAGCTCTTCATCTCAACAGTTTCTTTCCTTGCATGTAACCTCATGTTTCCAAGTAACAGCCCAGATTTAAGCCAAAATCATAAAGCTACTTCGGTTCAAGAAAGGGACAGTTACTGATACCCACAGGTTCTGATGACACACACATATGAAACATCCTACTTTCCATGAGGGCTGGCAGACCTCAAGTCACCTCTATTTTGGTGGTTTAGAACCACTTCCTAATATTTTCCCAGATCTTGGGCAACAAATAATCTCAGACTCACGACTGGATCCCCTTCTCCCACTCCAAAAAAGGACCTTCAGAAATAGCCATGAAGTAGCAGTAACACCATCAGATGACAGGTTTGAACGGGTCTGTATTGGTACTACCCAATCAGAGAGATCTCACCAGCCTCATTAAGAGCAGGAAGGTGCTTGCAGGTTCACTCACCACGCCTCCTCCAAAGGAACGATCCCAATTACCTATCAGAGTATTCGCTACCATGAGTGGGATTGTATCTGGGTGCGACCAACCAGCTGCTTCAACAGCTATCGCAATGTGTGCCAAGGGCATCTTATCATCTCTTATACGAATCTGTGGGAACATATGAAAGTAGCTGTAGTACAACCTGTGCACAGTAATGTACACGGGAAGCTAAATATCAGGAGACAAGACATTTCCATTACATCTGGATTATAAAGCATGCACACAGAAAACAAAAAATTGAAGTGTATAAAGCTTTATTTAACATTGGCCTTAACTAGTCTTCCCTGTGGCAATTTCAGAGCACTTAGCCAACAGCAAGCCTAACGCCACGTATGTAGAGAGGGCATTACAAGTCATTTTATGACAACCAGCAGCAAGGAAAGCTGATGACTTTTCAAAATCCAAATAGAGCCGGCAATAGAATGCAGATGCCTCGGTTCTCTGCCATATCCTTTAAATTAGTGATTCCCAACAAGTGGAAATGGTCCAACACCATAGGCAAGAGGGTAAAAGGAAAGTAGCAGCAGGGGTAAGGGAGGTATTCCTCCAAGAACTGACGAAGCAGAAAAAGTGGCAGCAGTGAGGCTTGTCCAAGAAAGGTTGGCAAGTCCTGCTTTGGAAGGCAGCTACTCCGTTGCATTCACCAGGGGCAAGAAACCTTTTAATCTGCTGAGCCTGTGGCCGAGAAGTTTTCTCTCCTCAGCAGAGAGCATGTGTCAGTTGTGCTCACAGGGGATATAAAGGCCAGCTCAAAAAGCCATCTAACAGCTTACCTCACTACCTGTGAAGCTACAAGGTGGCAGGGGTGGCAGTCCTCCTTCTGGAGCCGATGGCAAGTTACCAAAGTGGCACTTTGCTAGGTCAAGTAGCTCATCATGAGAGACCCCTGAACAAAGATATTTCACATACTTTGTAATTGTTACTCTGTAAACAATTAATTTAAATTGTTGTGCAGTTTAAAGACGCAACCAAGCAGCAATTTATTGTTCCCCCCCTTTAATGCCACATTTTCAGATTCCTCACACCTCCCTGTTATACAGAGTAAGATCATGATTATCACCCTCCTTAATTCTCTTCAACCATCTTCTATTAATATTACACCAAATCAAGCTGTTTGCTCTCAATTTCAAGCCTCAATGTTATTTCCCTTTCTCTGCTTTCCTTGCTACTCCCCTTTTCACATTGAACCCCTTCTAGGCCCCTCTTTTCCTGCCCACAGGGAAGAATGACCTTGGCCTCCAATTCACTTCCAGTTACTGGTTTAAGAATGTTTCTGGAATATTACTGAGGGGAAAAAGGAACAAAAGTTCAAAGGGTATGAAGGCACAAAACATGCAGGGCTAACCATGAACTTCCAGGACCTACTGAACAATGGGTAATTCATCATGTTGTTCCCAGAAACTTAAAGGCTATGGTTTTAAGCATAGTTTCACATGATCCAGGGTGAATATCTCATACTAACCTCCAGCAGCAGCCAGGACCATTCTGGGTCCTTTGTAATGTGTTGTTATGTACTCCACCAAGTCATTACGGTTTATGGATCTAGAAACAGTCAAGGAAACATCACTACTGTGTCAGTAAAGTTTATTAGAGTAAGAAGAGCTAAATGTATAGAAAAATACAATATCAAAATAATTGTAAGTTCTGCCAATGCACAGAGCTCTGCATAGAGGCAGAAAGCTAAAATAAGGGTGGCTTCCTAAAAAGGAAATAGGAACTTGATATATTTTGCCTTTCAAAGCTCTTGTAGCTTCCTGAGAAAGAATAAGAATTACAACTCAGTCAGGTGGAGACAGGATCCACTTATGATCTCATGCCACTTTGAAAACAGCACATTTAGCAGTCTCCTGGTCTGCACTGGTATAAACAAATGCTGACAGAGCAGTGCAAACACAGTTGTATTTACGATAATGCCCAACACCTGACCGATGGTAAAAAGGAGCATTTCCAATTTTGTGTCAGATGCATTTTTAACAAACAGGAGAAAAATACGGCAAATAATGAAGACATGGAGTAGACATCTGAAGCTCACATACCCTTTGATGCCTGCATACAGGGCAATTAAGGCAATAGGGGAATTCTTACAGTTATATCCAGTGCAGTTTCAGCTACCTTCCAGGTAAAAATGAAAACTGACGCTGTTCCCTATGTTTTCAGATGAGTCTCTTCAATATATAAAAGTTACCACACAATTAAAGACAGCCACAAATTTGGACATACTTGATGTTTTCAGTGGGTCCTAAAATTGTCCGTCCTAGGGCTGTCTTCTGATAGGCTGTAGCATGAAGGTAATCAAAGACAACTTCTTGTAAATTGGTTTCAACCTCTTGCATCTCTCGAAGTATAACTCCTCGCTCACGCTCAATCTCTGCTTCTCCCAGGGTACTGTTCTGTATTATGTCAGCAAGAATTTCCACAGCTAATTGAAAATAGAGATGGGAATGGAAAGGATATTTTCAGACTACCAAAAAAATCTGGTTCCAAAAGTAAAACCCACCGCAAAGACCAAGTGGCCCAAGATTTGCTAATAAGATTTGCAAGGGGACAAAAGACTTGCTCTGCAGGAAGGGGGAAGTCCAAAAGGTATTTTCTTTTGGGAATCTAAAGACAAAAATGTTTCAAATATCAACTTCCCTGCTGGCACTCTCCTTTCCAAACCTGCATTCTCACATTCCTGTGAAGTTCAAGAAAGGACTTTTCACCCGGGAAGGAAGGGACTATTACACTGCAAAAGCACCATTCTGTGTTGTCTCATCGGGAGCTGGATAAGCACTTCATTCTTTGCTGCTTTTCTGATGAATGAAAGCAGTTACCTCTTGGTAAGTCTTTCGAAAAAGCCTTTGCGTAATACACGGTTTGCTCCCTGGATGTATACGCATTCAGATGAGCTCCCATGTTCTCAATCTCTAGTTCAAGGTCTAACTGAGATCTCTTTTTTGTTCCCTGAAATAAAACAGTAAGAAAATCAAACTAGACCCTTTAATTCACCTACTCATCATTACTACTTCTTGTCTGGAAAAGTCAAGGTCAAGAGAAAGAAAAAGTCTTCTGGAAAGAAAACTGGCATACTAATCTCTCCAAGCTTGAAAGTCAGATATAAATCCTACTATGCTCCCAAATGAAAATAAAAAGCTGGCAAAAGGTGGACTATGTGTCTTCTAAGACTATTACAAGAAGTTAAAAGTGAGTTAAAATTAGACCTGTGTTACTAAACTATAGTTGTGTATCAGCTACACAGAACTAGGACTTTAGCTTCATTTTCTAATAGAAACCAAAGTCTAAGTTGTCAGCTTTTTTTTTTTCTCTTCTCAATTTCGAAAATTTATTTATACAATTCTGACAAAGTTCTTATCATTGATCTTTAAAGATAAATAACTTTAAAATCCATTGTAAACTTCTACATCCATACTCATACTCACCTTGAAAGCCATATGCTCAAGGAAGTGAGCAGTTCCATTGTTCTTCTCATTTTCATACCTGCTTCCAGCATCAATCCAAAGCCCAACCTCATTGGGGAAAAAAAAAAGAAGTCATTTTACCAGCTAACAATGCAGCTTTGCTGTTTTTGTGTATGAACTACACTTAGATTTTCAAGACCTATTTTTAAATGTTTTTTTCCTTAAACAAAGCAGGTTTTCAGGAAAAAGAAAATTTTGATCCTCACAAAAAATCTAATCACAAATCATTTACAAAAGCCTTATATTTCCTAGCTTGTTTCAGGAATAATTGTTAATAAACATTGAAAGAATGCAATTTAGTTCCACAAGGAAATGAACAAACATGAACAGTTACAAAAAAATCTTTCCTTTACAAGTTACCTACTGTGCACGTTGAGAGTCCAGAGTCTTCAGAAGCTACTTGCAAGCCGTTTTCCAGGGGACTCACCCTAGTTTCAGGAACGTTTAAGATTACTTCTGTTGCTGCTTTGGAAGCTCTGAGCCTGCCTGTTCCAACATGCACACACTGTAAGGAAAAAGCATCAGTCACACTCAGATTGTTAAGTTATATCCTAGGATGCTCTTCTGAAAAATATATTCCTGAACTTAAACATTAAGTTTGTGGATCTTTTTTAAAACATGCATTTAAAAGGAAAAAAATCAGCACTGATTTATTCACCGCTACTTCGCATCAGGGATGCATTAACCTGACTCAGAAGAAAAACATAAGGCATGTCCAAAGAAGGGCAATGAAGCTGGTGAAGGATCTAGAGCACAAGTCTTATAAGGAGTGGATGATGGAATTGGGGTTGTTTAGCCTGGAGAAAAGGAGGCTGAAGGGAGACCTCATCGCTCTCTACAACTCCCTGAAAGGAGGTTGTAGTGAGGTGGGTGTCGGTCTCTTCTCCCAAGTAACTAGCGATAGGACAAGGGGAAATGGCCTCAGGTTGCGCCAGGGGAGGTTTAGATTGGATATTAGGAAAGATTTCTTCACCAAAAGGGTTATCAAGCATTGGAACAGGCTGCCCAGGGAAGTGGCGGAGCGACCATCCCTGGAGGTATTTAAAAGACATGTAGATGTGGTGCTTAGGGACATGGTTTAGTGGTGGACTTGGCAGTGTAGGGTTTGCGGTTGGACTTGATGATCTTAAGGGTCTTTTTCAACCTAAACGATTCTATGATTCTATGAAATGATCTGACAGAAAAGCATGTTACTATCATCAGCCAGCCACCCCGAGAGCCACACTTGTTTCCCAGTTCTGCCAGCGAGAGCCTGCAGGACCTTGAATATATCCTCTAACATCTGGAATTCTTTTGGGTACCTGCTTTCTAAAGTGAAGTGAGATATAGCCCGAGGGCCTATGTCCAGGACTGCAAATCACAGTCACCCATTGTTCAGAATAGGGATAGATATTGAAATTGCCACCTTTCATACAATCACCTGGCAGTTAAAGCACAGAATTAAAGTTAAAGCACACATTAAATCAGAATGGGGTAGAAAAGAAGGGAAGATTGAGGTTAAAAAAATTTATTGCACTTTTTCAACATCAAGAAATTTAAATATGTATCCCAAATGCGTACTTCAAGCAATAAGCTATTCCAAAAAAATTTAAATGTATCAAATAAAAAAAGATTTCCCTCACCATGTAACTGCCCTAAACAAGGAGCTCCTCCTTACACTGAGGAGCGCAAAACCAGCTGCCATGTTCTAACTGCCTGACCAGCGCAAACTAATCACTTCCATGGATCTACTGGCTGTGTTCCTGTTTGTTCAGCCCAGGCTGCTGCCAGCCTGCTCTGCTGCCAGACACACTGCTTGCTGTCCTCCTGTACCCCCAGGCCTCTTCCACAGAGCTGCCAGACAGTTCCCAGCCTGGGCTGCTTCAAGGGATCATTTTCACTGCTAGTGTGCATTACAGGGAAGGAAAAACCTGTGTTTGAAAACAAAATCTCCCTCTCCTGTTTTTAGAAAGAAAAGCTTAGGTTTCAAACTGGGAGGATTGAGGTGCTGGAGCGTGTGCAGAGAAGGGCAACGAGGCTGGTGAGGGGTCTGCAGAACAAGTCTTATGAGGAGCAGCTGAGGGAACTGGGGTTGTTTAGCCTGGAGAAAAGGAGGCTGAAGGGAGACCTCATCGCTCTCTACAACTACCTGAAAGGAGGTTGTAGCGAGGTGGGTGT